TTATTCCTGTTTTTGTGGAGTGGTTTCCTTGTTTTATTCCTGTTTATTTGGAGTGGTTTCCTTGTTTTATTCCTGTTTATGTGTTGTGGTTTCTTCACTTTTAATTCTAATTTTGTGGAGTGGTTTCTTCACTTTTATTCCCATTTCTGTGGAATGGTTTCTTTGTTTTAATTCCCTTTATTTGGTGTGGTTTCCTCGTTTTCATTTCCCAAGTTGATTATCCCCATCCCGAAGGCTCTGCCTCTCTTGACCTTCCCATCCAATCCGGGGTGGATTTAAACGGAGCCGGGATTGCTCGGGCAATTCCAGGGATAATCCAGAACTCCTCCAATCCCCAATCCAGTTTTTCCAGCAAAGAGCTGAAGGTGTGGAGCCTCAAAACTCCCCTTTGATCCCACCCTTGCGATTCCCAAGTATCCCAAATCCTCTCCAGTGCTCCGCTTCTCAAGCGGAGTTAAGGATGCAAAAACATTCCCGATCTTTTATAGAAAAACGGAATTTTATTCCCATTTTCCACCGGGGTTACCAAGAGGAGGGAAACACGAGGCTGTTTCCCGGGAATTCCAACCAGCCACCGGGAAAGGGAATGATGGGGAGAAGGCAAAGGGTCTGAGATAACCCGGCATCGAGGAAATGGGAAAAGTGGCGTTTTTTCCCACCTGGGAACGTCGGAGGAATCAGGAAAAGGTTCTTAATTTAATTTAATTTAATTTAATTTAATTTCTTAATTGAAGAACCCCACAGCAATCCCGGCAGCAAAGGGGTTTATTTTTCCATTCGGGAATTGGCAACGAGTTCCTGAAGATCCTGGGAGGTGAAAATCCTCTGAAAATTGGAATTAGGTTTTGGGAACGTTCTCCAGTGTCATGGAATGGGAAGAGACCTAAAGGATCATCCAGTTCCAACCCCGACACATTCCGCTATCCCAGGTTGCTCCAAGGGAATCCAACCTGCCCTTGGACACTTCCAAGGATGGAGAATCCTTGAAGAACAATCCCACTCACCAGGGATCCTACAGATTATCCAGGGTTCCCTTTTCCACTGATCCCAAAAAAAAAACCTGGAAGAGGCTTTGCTGTGGCCAAAACTGCAGCTGGCACATGAATTGAGGCAAGTTCGAAACACTCCTGGAATATTTGGAGCTCAGAACACTTGGGAGCAGATCAGCCCTGGAATATCTGGAGCTCAGAACACTCGGGAGCAGAGCAGCCCTGGAATATTTGGAGCTCAGAACAGGTGGGAGCAGATCAGCCCTG